TTACAGAAGCAGAGAACAGTCATGCTTGCAATAATATTTTTATCTTGTGATTTCAAGAAAACAAAGAGCAGATTTCTTGAGATAACGAGATCATTTCTCAAGATAATTTTGCAACTTTTGTTTTTCTTGAGATCACAGGATTGATTGATTAATTTGGTTTATTTGATCACGTGATTTTGGCCTTCAGTTTCAATTCATAACTTAACTGAAAAGAGTTTTTAGCAGAATGTACATCTTAGAGTTAATTTGAGCGATTAACTTACTGATGCAATACTGAGATTTAGATTAATTAAATGAGCTCAAAGATCCTTGCAATGTTCATACACTTTTTATGGAGTATGGAAATTAATATTAACTGGCACATTGCACATAATTTCTCCATGCATTGTCCATTATTTTGAACCAATGGTACATTTATAATACGCCACGTACATGCTTGCATGGCACGTAAAAGGAAATTATCTTGGGATTACGATGCTTGTTTTCTCGAGATAACTAAATAATTAACTTGTGATCGTGAGATAACGGCCTCTTAAAAAATAATTGCAACCATGGCCCTTCTTGGCTGTTGCCCTCTATTAATGCAGTGTGTAATTGTCATTGTTCTTTAGATTTGGTGGAAGGCAAGCAGGATTTTTCAAAGGGGACTTTTAGTTCCTGATTCAGCTTTGCTGATATATGTAGTTCTTGGGATTTGGTTGAAAAGGGGCATTTGAGCCTGTAGCTTTGCTGGTTTTGGAGATCCAAAAAGAGCAGCTGAAAAATCTGATATGATTAATAGAATAGAAGTGCAACTAGTGTGTGTGTTGTGTTGGCATGTGTCCGCAGAGATTCTTTTTTTAATCATTTCCCCATATAATGCACATTTTCACAAAAACTATTTGGATCCACACACTCTTTGTTCTGCCCTGGAATGGACAGCAGCCTATGAGACCTGTTGGATGCGAGTCATCCTGAAATCTCCACTCATCCTGCTGCATGATTTGCGCTTTCAATAAACAAATCTTTAGAGCCCGCTTAGATGAGCAGTAAAAGTTAACAACACACAAACACAATGTCGGCCCTGCCTGAATAAGTGCCTTACCCACAGGCCCAATAAAATGTCATGGATGTCAAAGCAACACTGAACTATTGAGAATAATCTGCAAAACAATACAGAAAAGAAATGTAACAACTCAGTGTGACATCTGTCGGCAGATCTGTTTGTATTCAGCTCTTGACAAGTCGAGAAATAACTATTATTTGTACAGACAGGGATAGGCTCAGATGGAGTAAGTGTTGCAAACATATATAAACACACGTGTTTAAACCTTGTCTAGAACAAAAGACACTATTGAGTTGCATCGTGGGAAGTTTGGGTGTGTTTTTGGAACTTGACCTGTATTAAGTACTGACATTCTGGATATCTCATCTCTGCTGCATCAATTTTAACCTGCCCCTTACCATCCCCCCAAGCTCCTTGTAGAAGCATTTTTTTCCTAAAGTAGATGGTTTCACTCTATTGGGTTTCCTGACCAACCTGAAGAGTTCAACCTGCTGTAAAGTTCACATCACCACCAGATATCACATCTAGCCTAATTGAGCTCGCTTTCAGGTGAGTCAGAGGCATTTTCACTGTGGCGTACAGCAGAAATGAAGGAGTAGACAGTGCGAGCTCTGAGAGCCATCGATGGGAAGTGTTGATTGGTGACATGTGGGAGCATTAACTGTGGCGTGTCACCACCCTGTGCTGTCATGATCCAAAGGTCAGTCAGAAAACTTGACCGTCTGTTCCCACTCAACTACATTAGTGTTAATGGGTCAGTCTGGTCTGGCTCCTGTATTCACTGCCCACAACAATTATAACATTCCTCTACTAGTGACTTTTCCTCCTCTGCAAAAATAACACTGAATGAATGAATCAGAAAAAAGGCTAACCAATATATTCAACTTCAGTGTGTAGATCACTATGGTGAGGACCGTCCTCACCAGAAAAGCAACAGCATGCATTATTTGTTCAAACTTTTACACCAACCACCTGACAAGGAAGTGGTCATGCAAATAATCACTGACCTCTCCAGAAAAACTACAGCTAGTGAGCATCTTGTGTTAACAAAATATCTTTTTGGGCAACTTCTCATCTTGTGGAAACAGATAAATTATCCTTAAAATTAAATTCTTCTCTACGATGCAGCTGTCCCCTTAGAAATTTAATTTGATTTAGAACCAACCAGGTCAACGGACGACCCCATCACCCTAGCCCTCCACACTGCCCTCTCTCAGTGTTTTCTTCTCCCTGATGCTTGGCCATTGTTATATTTGTGAATCGCGATTTGTTAAAAGTTCCTAAAAATATCAGGAAAGCTAATTCATCCATCACTTGTTTTACAAGAACTCTATAAAATATGTTGTCTTCATCACCATTGTCATTGCAGTCAGCTTTTCCGGGTTAGGATTCCTTCATTTTTCACCATTTAGGAGTTTTTTACCAGGAGCCGATCTCCGCAGAGATCTTGAACGGCCCAAGTGATTAAAACTTCTGGCAAACAACCACAACGCTGAGACATGCGCAAAGGGGATATGATGCCATTGACAGGCAACCGGTCAAATGCATCGTAACCTGAATAGGGGTTTTCTGGGTTTGAACATTAGAGTGTTTTTAGATATTTTAATACTGAACTTGTATATATTATATCTTTAAATAATAATTAATAATAATAAAACTTTAATAAACAATAAAACTTCTCCATTTCATCTGAATTCTAAGAAAAGATTCCCTTTCACTCAGTGCTACCCCCAAATGGGGCAGGCCTATGCGATCACCATATGCCACTTCAACTGCTTTTACTGTCCACACAGTTGCCTCATATGTATATACGTTAGAGCTCATCTGATGCACGCAGTCATGCTGTGACTCATGGCACAACAGATCAGCTGTCTACTTTTACGACCCAATTAGTGACAACATATTCCAAGAATCAGGCTCAGCAGCGTTGTGAGCGTGGGTCTGCTAAGAATTGATTTGTCAGATGAATTTTATTGCCACAAGAGTTTAGAAGCAGCTCGATAACACCATCCACTACTGATGAATACGGTTCCAAACATATTAAATGTTATTTAATCAGAAAGTTTAGCATGCATTTATTTGATAAGCAGAGTAAAAGATACCTGAATGAATAACTGATGGAGCAACTGACTATACATTATAGATAAGACAAGATTAAATGTACTCATTCCACACAGGCAAACTGAAGAATGTGAACTGGTATAAATGTAAACTTCACATTTTAAAACATATTATACAAATTCTTAATTTCAATAGAAAGTGGCCTTTGCTGGTTTCCCATCAGCCCTAGATTAAAAAAATATAGGGTAAAACTAAATATGACAGTGGCTTTGATCAAATCCCAAGGTTAAGACACCTTTTTAGAAAAAGTGGGGACCTACAGGTGGTGTAATGTTTACTTGCCATTTGCTCCTGGTTAGCCTCATTGAAATGAAACCTCTTACAGACTGAATAATAGACACAAAGATTTTATTGATGATTCAGTCATTTTAATGTAATATTTGAATCCCTGGAGGAAAACTGAAAAAAGAGGTTTGATCCATAAAAGTGCCTTTCAGTATGAAGTATATACAATATCTGGCTGAGGAAATATACGGTACAGTTTAGGAAATGATACTTAAATAAAATGAAGCAGGCAAAGCAGAAAATTTCCTCTGGCAAACCATGTGAACGGGACTAAACTGGACTTCTAACAGATTTCAGACTGCCATCTTGTGGCGCACTCAGCTGCTTGCATGACGTATGAAGCGTTACAGCTGTTAGTTTAACAACATGACCACGGCTGTATTTCAGATGTAATGCACAGCAGCGCTGGAACAAACTTCCAGTAAATACTGTGTATGACCCAACTTTGACTACCTTGAAATCCAGGTTAAAACTAATTTAGTGAACCATAAGCACCCATTTTATCCACCTGGTACTTACATCTTGACCTTTCTCTCTTTTTATCTTTTAAATTTTTCTTTTTAATGCCTTTATAATCTCATGTTAAAGTCTCATGTATGATATGCAGATAAACTTGCATTGTGATCAATTCTTGGAATATATCTTTAAAACCAGTTTTCCGAGCTCGAGCTTGTACATGTGGTCCAGCTAAGTTGGAACAACAAGTAATAAGCTGTTATAAAGAAGCAATAGCTATTATGTTTATGTAAGTCTGTCTGTCTGGGTGGTGAGGGAAATGTGCAGGCAGGAGCACGTTTAGGTGACTGGCATGAGCAATAAGCTAAAAACTGAGGAAGCATGAGGGGGTCTGGAAGGTTTCATGAAAATGAAAGTTACGAGGTTGAGAGGAATTATTATATATGTTGTCTTTCACTGCTCAATCTTATGTGAAAGAAAGCACTTCTTACTTATTTCTTATCTGAAAAAGAAATAACCTCTCAGATATGAGGTGTGCTAGACATTACCTCTTCATGTAAGCAAAAGGAAATTGGAGCTTCATTAATTCAGACTGCAGCATTTTAGTGTCATCGTTCAAAATGTTCAAGGCTGTTGTCAAACACAAAACCTGAATGAGGAAATGTATTTTTTATCACCTTGCCTTTTGTACAGAAGATATGTCTGTGTGTGTGTGTGTGCAATTGATGCGAGGTAAATGCAACTGGCAAGAGCGCCATGGCAACCATGGCATCCCGTCCTCCTCCCCCCCTGCTGCATGCGTGAGGGCCAACAGGAGCAGTGTTCACATGTTGCTCTCATTAGTCACTCCCACACACTCAATGTTACAAACTGGAGCTGGAGGACAGGTGGTGCTGTAGGTGTGTGTGTGTGTGTGTGTGTGTGTGTGTCTGTACTGCAGTCTGCCGCCTGGGCGCGTGTGTTTTTGCTGAATGGTATTGGAGCCACGTGCTGGTGTTGAGGGACGCTGTGCACTTGGCAGAGATGGATGATAGGAGGCAGAGTTTCAGTTATACAACCGTTTCTGTTATGTGACATAAATGGCAGAAAGGGAGCACTGAGTGCAGAGATACAGTTAAACTGATTAAAGCTCTCAAGAAAAGGATTTTGATTGTTATTCATTTGTTTTAAACAGCAACATACTACTGCAACAAGCTTATTCTAGCCCAGTTCTTATTCCTTCCAGTAATCCAGTAAGTTTCCATATCTGTTTCAGCTGTTCCGAGGTGCAGGGGGCCGCAGTTGATCCCAGCATGCATGAGGAGGGCAACATTCAGGAAAGGTTGCTGGTCTATTGCAGGGCTAACATACACAGTCACAGCAGGTTTGAGCATCTATTAGTGGTAAGTACAGGTATGCCTTTTTTTTCTTGTTAATTTTCTGTGTGTCTGTTAAATATACATTTATTTCAAGTGTATTCTATGTTGTTGATTTGTTTTGTGAAAAGTATTTTTGTTTTTGTTTATTTCTGAAATGTTGTTGTAATATGTTTTCATAACTTCTATGAACTGTGTTTTTCTCCATAGTTTTGTTTTATTTTTTGCTCTTTCTTTCATTCTTTACAGTATTATCTTTATAATCTCACCCTATTCTGTTTTACAACCTCTATGTCATTTTTTGTGCAACTTGATTGTGTGTGACATGTGCTTCATAAGAAGAACTTCCAGAGACAATTTGTTTTAGAAAAACGGTTTATCTTTCTTGTCAATCTGTCTGTTAAAGTGTTTCTTTCTCTCTCTCTCTCTCTCTCTCTCTTTGTGCTCTGCCGGGATTGTGTGTCACTGGCAACAGTACAGCTGGGATACAGTAGTCTCAAGCAAACTACTAAGACTCACCCCACTCTTGGAAGTGAGTGTAGACCATCTGACCATCAGCCAGGACAGCAGAGCAAGCCCTCACGTGTTGCTGTCTGGATAATCACATAAAGACAACCCTACTCAACTTGTATAACACTCCCTCCCTCCCTCCTTCCCTTCCTGCCTCCCAGCCTTCCTCCCAGCATATGGACAGGGGAGGTCATTATTTTTACATGGCAGTTGAATGGACATGGTTAAAGAGTGCAAGAACTGTTTCATGTAATTTACACTCACAATGGTGGTTGACCTCTAAAATCCATTCTGCAGTATCACCAACCCCATAACCTTATAAAATCATTTGTTTTCTTCTGTCGGACCTTTAAAGAAAGATCACTGTGTTTGTCTTTTGTTTTTTGAACCACTATAAGTTTTATTTTAGAACACAGTGTATTGTTGGAATAAAGTCATCTTTGTCTATAGATACTGAAAAGAGTATCATTTTTTCTTACTCTGAATGATCAGAAACATTTTCTGCTCTACACTTTCACATTTTGCACGTTGAAATAAAATGAAAACATTTTCCTTTTACAAAAGTGCAGGCTTCCATTACAGAGGACGCTTTTCTCTGAGCGGTTGCGCAAATTATTAGGCCAAGTCTTTGTACAGACAAGGTAGTTCATCTTTTTCAAACGTGCACCTAAATTTAGCCAACTAGGTCTCACGCCTCACAAAACAGCTTCTCTTAGCATGTGAGACCCAGAAGTAGACAAACCAAACAACCACAGTGAGTGACAAAAATCAATTGTGTTCTTAGAAAAGTGCTCACAGTGTCTCATCTAAATTATATTAGTTCAGGCATATTTACCACAAGGACTGCGTCTTGTGCTTTAGCACAAGATTTAGGTCAGAGTCTTGAAGTGAAGTGCACGCAGATGTATTTACTTGTCATTCCATCTGGCCTTTGACTCCTATTTAAAGGAATCCGGTCATGCAGTTGTATAAATTAGCAAAGCATATACTGTGTGAATACAATAGATTTTGGGTTTATCACACTTAATGTGAGGAAATGAGAACAGATTGATGGTCACGAATGTGCATGTATAATAATCATCTTCATACTGTGTCACACTCACATGTGAGGTACGTCACCAGTCAGTGGATGCGTAGAAATGATATGCTGACTGTTTGCCATGAGTCATGCAGCAGAGGCCTCTCTGCTGGCAGCGAGTGCTGGAGTAATCCTGAGGAATTACAGTCCAGCAGAGGGACCTCAGGTGAGCGTTGGGATTAAGACAGGAGGTGTTAGCTGCAGTGATTTCAGAAACTGGGAGCCCCTGCGTGGGCATCTGATCAAGGCTGGACACATCTTGTCTTAATCCCTATGAAAATCCCAACTCACGTTAAAAATAAAAAAGAAATTGTTACTGAATGTCAAATATAGCAGCAATAACATGTTAGTTTAAAACAGGATGTGGTGTAAGTATACTTTGTGCTGAGACATCCAAGGAGAGGGGTGGATATATGTCTCTGGGCTCATGGTTTCCAGTTTGTTCCTGTGAATCTGTGAATTTATATGTGTTTATTCTGGATTTGTGATAAAGAGAATCAGCCACACAAATCACATTTAAAAACTCGAGACTTGGAGACTATGAACTGTGGGGAACAGGCTACTTTTAGTTGACATATATCATCTGTAGGTATGCTGCCTTTTATGTGCACACATACTTTCATGTGTAGATGTGAAATAGCAAGATAAAAACAATAAACACAGAATAAATAATTGTATTCTGCTTTTAATGTGTACATTGCTTTGTATTCAGAAACACCACAAGGCATGTGACAGCTTTACAAGCAGTCTCGCAGGCACAAAGAAGAGCAGATTGATCATGCACACTGATACATTCCACGTGTAGTAGTGACTGTTTGGATTCTTGTGTTATTACGACATAGTGAGAGACAGTTGTGATCATTTTTGGAATAAAATAGTTCTCTGAATGTTTAAAGGGTACCTTCTGGTTTCAGCCCAAACTGTCATTCATTCCCCCAGTGTCACCATCTAGTGGATACAATCTGACATAATAAGGTTTCTGGTGAGGTTTAAAATCAAACCTTGCCTTTAATCATGAACTGACCTTTTCTTTTTTTGGGCCAAAGCAAACAGCGTACATGTAAATTTTCTTATTTTACTTATTAGGACAACTACCAAACACAGTAATAATGGTAGTTTAAGGATATAATCCTTCTTCGACTGTCTCATATTTTTATCGTAAGCATTCCAGCTTTAGTGGGCTGCTAGCATACTGTAATCTAAGTTTTGTTTGATTTTTCTTGTGGTCAGTTTTACCCTTGTACTAGGTCAGTTACAACAAGAAACAGTGCCTAAAACGAGCATTTACATGAAGAAGTGGATGATGCTGCTGTAATCTATGAAGGGCTCACATCTAACTAACACTTTTCAACAGGAGTCAGTCTTTAAAGTGGAATTTTATTAAATCCTTAAACGCTAATTTAGAGTAGGATTTTAACTGATTAGCATTACTTCCATGTTGGGATAGTTGATTAAATCTGGTTCCCTGCTAGTCAGCGAAGAGAAAACAAAGGAATTCATTTTACATCACAATCCATCACTGATATATGCACACTATTGGATTTTTGGAGTATTATGTTTTGCACATGTAAACCAAACAACTCAAATGTACACAGATGATCAGAAACCTAGATACTGTTATGATCATACAGAGATATGAATTACCTGGTTTCTCGTGTTCCATGTAAACGCCATATCCCGGATGTGATCAAAACCATAGGCACATATAAACACACTCACTTTACGAGTTGTTAACAGTTTCTGGAAACATACATACAGTATATGACATATGTGACTGTATGAATTGACTTTGACATTGTTGATGTCTTATGTTGATGTGGTAACCTGAAAAAACAAATTTTAAATTGCCTTATTTGAACTTGATTTAGTCCCGTCCTTGTATGTGTGATGTGTTTGTATCCTGTAGATTGTGTTTTATTTCTATTTTAATTGGTGTGCTCTCTTGGCCAGGTCTCAAAGGAAATAAATAAAGTAATAATAAAGTAATAATAATAATCATCATCATCATGATCATCATCATCATCATGAATTATGCTGTATAAAAAAAAAGGTTAACGTGTAACGTATAACGTGTAACATGTACAATAAATAGGATTACAAACAGCACGTTAACACTAGTTTATTCTATTCTTATTCTCACACTACAGACCAAATGTTTGACCTGGTGAGTAGAAAAACCTATAATTATAGATGACAGCAACAAGCTGTTCTCCCTTGTTCTGTTCTGAGCAGTGCAGAGCTGTAGTGGGTGTAGCTGCCACCTCCACATTTTGGTGTTATGTACAGTAAGAAAGAACCTTCCTTCACAGCCTTCTAAATTCCTCCTGATGTCTAATTAAAGTAAGAAATCTGTGGGTGTCATTTTATTTTAAGCTTGGCTGTGCAACGGAGGGAAAATTATTCATTATTGTCTCCTCATGTGCTGACACACTTTACTGACAGGCTTTGGCATGAAGCGTTGCAGCATTTCTATTTCAAATGTAACATGTGTGTCAAAAATATAACAAAACACCAAGAATATAATGTGGGTCACCCTGGCCTGTTTCATAAGGTAATGAGCTACGGTAGAAACTAAAGCCAGTGAAGTCTTATATGTTCACATGGAAAATGGGCCGTGTCATAACGCTCTCTATCAGCCACTTAATGCTGTTCCATGAGGAGTATATTTGCATATTAGAGAGAGGGTTTGTGTGCATGGGTGGCCTACATGTGTCTGCACATGTCTACACCTGTGTTAGTGTGCAGATTATATTACTCCATGATACCTTATCAAGAGATTCATCTTGTTAGCCCCTCCTTTTGGTTACAACACCCCATCACACACACACTTCCTGCAGGGCGTGCTGAACAGATAAGACAGCACTGGTTTTAAGATACTTCAGGGAAATGAGGAACAGAGGCTCGTGTCATCCTTACACAACTTTCCAATTATGAATTTTCCCAAGAGGGAGGTTTTTGTTGTAGATGCTTTATACTGAGAATCTGTTCACAGCAGTGTTTTTAAATGAATACATTTTATTTCTGTTGTGAAACCTCATAGTACAAGCAGTTTTAAAGGTTGGTCCACATAATCTCCAACAGGACTTATTTTTTCATTTCTTGTGGCATAGTTTTAGCTTTATTTACCTGTATGTTTTTAGATATATGTCTCTGCCTCCCTTCAGATACAATGAGGAAGAATGGAATTCAGTTTCAACATTGAAAAATCCCACCTAAAAAAAATGAACAACAGCAGCATTGTTTCCAGACAGAGTGGTTGCTCTGGATAATCCGTAGACCTTCCTGTTAACAGTTACCATTAAAACGACATTATGCTAGATAAATAGTTTCTATGAAAAGAGTGAGGTCTGTATATTATTAAAGTAAGCTGGACACTGTTTATTGAAAGAGATGTTTGCATTATCGTATGCATTACGTCATACCACTTCTGTTAAGCAGGGAAATATGTTTTTTTTTTTGTGATTTGGGTAAAGCAACCCTTTAGAGATGACTACTCCCTCTGGTCTTGTGCAAAGGTCATTGAAGGTCTTAATTGATTGGTGATCACATTTTGATGTCTGTAAAGGCATGACAGCAATTCAAATGGTGTGCTAATTTTCTGTCTTCTGAGTTGTGCTGAAGAGCTTTCAGTCGTTAACTTGTTGTGCACACAGAGTAAAAGAAATGTGTTCAGCAGAGTTGAGGTTTCTAATGTATTAAGATCAGAGTGAGAGGAGGAATTTAAAGGGAATTATAACTTTTGATTTGAGTCTTTTCAAAAGTTGTTTATAGACTCAACTTGTCTACATTTTAATAATAGTTGTTAAATGGAGCTTTATCCTCAGTTGTGAAGTTGGGACATTGTATTGAACACATATTCATGTTTCAATTCTGATATGGTCCCAGTTCACACTTCGCCTGCCATTTGTACTGTTCCCCAGTTCCATAATGTAACAATCTATATTGATTCTATAAAGTAAAAACTTTGCATAAGATTTTGGCATTTCATATACAAGACGTGATTCACCATTTTGCACTGAGATTAAATAAGGCATGCTCAGAAGTCCTCCAAACTGCAATTTGGACACAGTCAAAAAAAAGAGTAAAATGTGTAAACTTAAAGACAAACCAAAGAGAAAATACGTTTTTCCAAAGTTTAAATACTTTCGTTTTTTGGATCTGTGAGTAGCTCCTCTTTACATAGTCCTTGCCTTGTAGTGTCCAAAAAAACAACCCACTCAAAAACAAAGCAATATGCTGCATTTAGGATAGTGACATCTTAGTTACTACTAACTGGTCGGACACAGGTCTTGGGACTAAACCACCTCATTTTGGAGGGTGGATTTATAGGTCCGGAGGCCCTAAGCAATTAATATAAGACATTAAGAATGCCATTGATTAAGTAATCGTCTTTGGTTTTTCCATGTTTTTCCATGGTCACATTGTACACTCAGGGTTAATAGATAGTAGTAAGAATAGGTACAAATTGTCTTCAGGGGCCCCATGCAGCAAGTCAACGGTTACGTCCGGTCATGAGCGCAGAATCAGCCCGGCCTCCAGTTTCTCTGAAATCATCCAACTTTGTGGGTTGGGTCCTGTGGAGATCTCCATCCCTGAAATGGGTCACAGCTACAGTATTTGAATGCCATCACAAACTTTGAGATCTGTTCAAAAGGCTGCTTTTTCTGTTGTTTTTTTTTGGCTCCAAATGATGAGTCTGATCCCTGTGTTCCACATTTATTCAACAACTGCAAAACCAGACGTCAAACACTGCTTATATAAAGCATTACATAAAACAATGAATCAATCCCACAGCGCCACAACTGCGAGTTAACCAAAGACAGAGTGATAATTAAAGTCAAACAAAACACGATCGTCACTACTGTTTCACCTGAAGGCATCTTATTGTGATACCACGTGTGAAACCTCGATTAAAACAATAACTATGAGCTTGTTTTGATCTTCACAGACAGCCATTCATTCTGCTGTCTGAGAGGTTATACAATATCACTGCGTTATATAAGTGAGCCACATAACCGACCAATAGGAGCCCGCCTCGTGCGTCACGTGACGCCCTGCGCTCGCTTCGCTGAACTGTTTATGAAATCCGAAGAAGAGCTACCTCTAGCTGCTGGAGCTAGCTGGCTAGCGACCAAGATGGAGTATCCGAGTAGCTGCTTTATTTTTATCGGGAGGGGTTCTCGTTTTTTAGGTACGACACCCGGGTTCGTTAATATTCGGGCTTTGGGACATGTGGGTGAAAGAGTTCGTTTGTGGACGGGGCAGTAGCTCGCTGAACCCGCTGTAACGTTAGCTAGCTCCCGGGCTCTCTTACATAAACACTGCCCCTCAGCTGCGGTTCACTTGAGCAAAGACGGACTTATGGCTCCGGAGCTGAGACATATCAAATGTATCCTCGACTTCCACGTACTGTAAACTATTTTAAAACCTAAACTTGGCCTGTGTTGGGTTTATAGTGTGTCTTTAGGACGAGTTGGTGCGACAACGGCAGACCAAATGGAAATTAAGCTTCTTACTTGCTAAGCATGGAGGACTTTACCCACCGGCTCTCGACCAAACATAAAGATACTGTAGAGTTGTTTTCGTGTTGTGATGTTATCTGGAAAGTTTCCATTTGTAGCAGAAAGACGTTATCAGACCGCCTCCTCGCTGTAAAGGGGGCGAGAGAGGGCTGACCAGCGGGACGCTTTGTAAATAACACCGACCTGCTACCTCCAGGAAGCTACAGCCGCTGTTTGCGGGGAAACCACGTCTCTTGCTGGCGTTTGTGCGACTTCGACGCGGATCGGCAGCGTCCTGTTTTATTGGGGTTGAGGTCGTATGACTTGGAATGAGTCCTAACCTACTTCCAATGGCCAGCAGTGAGAGTCGGGCACACTCGCAGGTTTGGTTTGACAGCAAGAGGTTAAATGATAGTTATCCTAATTTTCAGAGATGATTTGTAACCAGCGTGGGGAGTTAGGTCTGCTTTTGCCAGACTACCAGTGAACCCTTCCGCCGTCTAAGTGTCTGCTTTTTCATTCGGAAGAAGAAGATGGAGACGGGAGTGAGGTCTCACCAGGGCGAGCTGTTCGTCCACCCGCTCTCCAACCCTGGAGCTGCGGGCATCTGCCCCGAAATGCTGGAGGTGGCAGAGGAGGCCAGCCGGGCTGGGGACTTTAACCTGGCCGCGGAGATCTACAGCTCCCAGCTCGCAGACCTCCAGCAGCCGGACAGGGGCTTGTGCCTCAGGAAGGCCGACTCTTTGGCCCGGGCCGGGCGGATATCTGAGGCGCTGGACTCGTACTGCATAGCGGCCAGTCTGGGTAAACTGCGCCCGGAGGAGCTTCCCCTCCTGGTGGAAACCATCGCCCGGACTCTCCGTGATAAAGAGCTGGGCATCCCCGGGACTTTAAACGGGCACGGTAAAAGCAGTGGCGGGGAAGATGGGATTGAAAGTGATGGGGAGTGTGGAGAGGACGAAGCACTGGACTTGTTCTCCTGTCGCCTCTGCAAGTGTCTGCTCCATGAGCCCACGACCGTGGAGTGCGGGCACACTTTCTGCAAACGCTGCTTAGAGGACGACTCTGTCAAAGACTGTATACAATGCAAACAGAAGTTGAACAAAAAAGACGGACTGCCGCACGGCCGGAGATTAAACGTTGTTCTCAGCGGCCTGCTGGATAAACTGTTCGCAACTGAGAGTAAAGCGAGGAGATTGTGGATCGAAGGAGAGGTTCTGTGGAAAACTCAGAGCCTCAGTGATGCCTTGGAGAAGTACAGCGCTGCAGTGGATCTAGGTAAGAAAGCACAGCCTTCACACATGCAACAAAAGTATTTAATGTAACCCTTTCTGCGTTAAACGTGACAATGTTTGTATCAAAACTAGTGTTTTGAACAGGTGACCTACTTTTATCAGTCTAGCTACCCGGTGTCACCGGTAGTGGCGCCATTCCTACCGATCTAGACCTCATTACCTAAGCAGCACACATACTGATACTCTGCTTGCCAGTGGAACATGTATAACGTGTTACCTACTGCTGCAAACTAGTGTTTTCACTGAGCAGCTATAGGGAAGGGATGTATGTGGAGCTCTCAAGCCCACACATGTTAGATTTATTTGCACAATATTGCAAGAATACATTCCTTAGTAGTGACTGACTGAGGGTGGACTGAAGCATTAGCCCCTCCTCTTACTGGTGGTGTTTCATAAGCTGGCACTTTATGATGTGTTGGATAACATTCAGGGAAATGTAAGGAGTTCTAAACTCTAACTCTAAAGTGTTGCTATCCAACGTCAACGTAACTCTTAAAGGAGAGGAATATTAAAGAGAAACGTTAGGACACTTTTTTCTGAACCCGCTGAGCCAGAATACAGAGTGTCCTGTTCTGTTGGCACATTACATGGAGTCAGTGTGTTTCATTAATTGTGGGCAAGGGCAGGTCTCATGTTGCACAGATTGAATCCTCTCACAAAGTTGGACCAGCTCTTGCCACCTCTGGCCTACATAGTGACAGAAATGAATTCCCTGTGGTCTTTGAATAGATTAATGCACAACAACACGGCGTTGACACCGCTGGCTGTCTGAGGTGTTCACACTCCTCTTGGTTGAGGAAATTGATCAACTGGAGATGAACGTGTCAATCAAAAGAAATGCAGCGCAGTCTCTTTCTGTCATTGTGAGTGTTCAAATGGCACTTTTCCAGATATTTCTCTCCCTAGACCAATATTGATTTGTGCCTTCTGTCTTGTGAAGGACTCTGGGTGACAGGAGGACAGAGTGCCTTCACAGCTCTGTCACTGCCAGTCAGTGTTTTCCCAACAAATGCAGCAGGAGGCCTTCTGGTGTCCGTGATGCAGGATGAGTGTAATGGGCTCAGCACACGTACAGCTGTTATCCAACCTGCGCCTTGTAGGCAAATGTTTTTCCTCTTGGCGGCGGCCTGTGCTACATGTAGTGTGCGCTGCATTGACACAGTGTTTGTGTAAGAGCGCAGAACGGACAGGTGCATTATTGGTTACTGAAGGAGAGATCGCAGTCTGTTTTTGCAAAGTAACACAAGGCAAAGCCACAGCTTAAGTTTTTGTTAATAGTTTAAGTTTATTTAAGGAGGTAACAACATTACAGGATAACAGTAATTCAGTGAATGAAGAACTACAAAAAATGCTGTGCTCAGGAAGGAGAAAACTGAGCACAGCACAGTGAAAAGCAATAAGATAAGCAGGCTACCTCTTTTGTGCCTGCTCTTTCCTGATCGCTCACATTTTCTTTCTCTCTTCATGCCTAATATTTTCGTGTCTAACTTTGGTGAGAGGCTATGAGGGTGTAGGTCATCCACCGTCTGTAGTAAAGCACCTGCTTGAGGAACTGCGTTCCCCTTTCTGTCATAGTTGACACAATGCAATGATCACAAATCCTTCCTGTAAATGATAATTAGGGTTCAAACCCTCCAACTGACTTGAAATGGGATGCACCAGTCCAACTCAAAGTGCATCACAATGAATCCTCTTGGACCATAAAAGTCCACCATGATGGATTTTACTTTATTTTTTTAATTTGGACTTCATTTCAATGAGAACATTGGTGGAAAAGCATGGCTGCCATCAATCAAAGTATCTTCCATCGCTGCAGAAATTGTGTGATTGGGTTCAGTCCAAACTGAAGTGACTTCTGTCAGCTTTTCTGAAGCCTCGTGAAGCTTTAACTTTGGCACAAAAAGGTTTGAACCATGAACCTGCTGGTGGCTACATTTCCTACCAAGCTTGTTGTCGCTTCAGTGAGACGGCTGTCCCTACCCTACATCATCAGACTTCCCATCACTCCAGGGACAGAGCTGAACAATGCCCGCCTGTTAGGATTTGCTCAGCTTTTTGAGTGCACACAAACAGTGCTGGTGTAATTTTACCTTGTGGCCCATGAAAAGCTAAAACCCAGGGAATACATTTCCCACTCTTAACCACTGACTGTTTTGCGCCATCTCTGAGCTCATAGACATCCATTGTTGTTAAAAAATGCACTAAAAAGAGGTTCTATAGTTACAGTGCCACCTTGATCAAAGTAATCCAGCAGTTTTTAGGAATACATTATGTATTAGATTACTGTATTATAAGAAAAGATATAGCTCTAGGCACACCCATATGTTGTTTAAGCCTTGGTGAATAACATATCCCCACACAAAAACAAATGTTAGTACAGATTCACTAGAAAGTTTTCAAACATGGTCTTTTTCTGCGTCTGATGTTGCTCATAAAACATAAAAAATCAACAGGGAAAATCAGATGAAGACTTTGCTGGACTATATGGATGGAAGCTCCTATTCTCCAGTCACAATGTTTCCCGTTTGTGTTCTTGCAGTGTCACATAAAGGCTGTTAGGAGTCAGATTATAGCACAATATGTTGGAGCCGTGTAAATATTGTCTGTTGATGCTGCTGTTGGTGTCTCAGCTGACTCAGCTTAGTCGGCCTCTTCGCCTTCTGTTCAGTTTTTGGGAAGATGAGAGAGCCGGCCTTCGGAAAACGGTTCCTCAGATATCTTGCCAAAAGGTTTCAGAATCCAAAGTTCCACTCACAAACGGCCAAAGACCCTGGTCGAAATAATGCTGTCATCAGACTGGAACGTCTTGGTTGTTAAGAAAGTAAAGAACGATCGCAGTCGGGGGGGAAAAAGTGTCAAAAGTCCAAATTGGGTACATAAAATACTTGTTATACAATAAATGTCATTTGTGGAAAAACTATTTAATGATGTGGCAATAAATTGACTGGTAATTGTCCTCTGACACCACGTATTATCACCACATAAGTTACATAGCATTCTCACACATCAAATAGGTCACATGTTACATTGTTGCCCTACTTCTACCAGACCTAGAAAAAGCTGTCCATCCCCTGGAGGCCTGTCCACTGACCTCATGCTCTGTGTGTGTGTGTGTGTGTCTGTTTTTCCCTGCGGTGTACAGTGCCCTCTTCAGGCAGACTGCTGTGTCAGCGGGCTGAGTTGCACATGGAGATGAGGAACTTCAGTCAGGCAGTGCAGGACGCCAACAGCCTCTGTAGGATGAAACCGCTCTGGACAAAGGTGAGACACATGTTTGAAATGGACCTGCAGGGCCAGGTTATTATACGTCTGTGTTAAAACAAAGAAACCTATATCTACTATAGAATGTCAGGTGTTATATAATCTATCTAATTAAGAGGCCTTTTTTATGTTCATAGGCACCAGAGAGTTGTTCTATTCCCTGACAATACTATCCACTGTGGGTTACAGTACACAGAATATACTTCCACTAACAGAAACATTAACAGGAAAATGGAAAAAACTGTTCATTATGGTGCAGATCAGCATGGATCTTAATAAAGAACAAATAACAATTTCATTTTTGTCATATTTTTGCATTAGGCTTTTTCATTCAATAGATATAAGACATATTATAGAAGAAGAAAAAGCAAACAAGTTGGATACTAGTGAAGAGAGACAGAATGTGATTTTATTCTAAACTAAAATATCTTCTATTTGAAAATGACCCCCAGTCAATGAGTGAGGTTACAAGTTTCTTATGTTTTGATCCACTTTAACTATAATTTTGAGGACTTGCTTGTTGCATTCCAAGTCAAAATGTTTCACAATGAAAATTCAAAGAACCTACAACTTGTAGGTGGAGTACATAGACATATCATGTAGCACGTAGAGCTCCGCGCAAATCATATCTAATAGTTCGGACTGAAACGATAATCCAACGATGGCAGCAGCTCTTCACAAATGATTGTGTGTTTAAACGTTTAGAATTTATGTCACTTGGAGGAAAACTAGTTATATGTGAATGTTTTTTGTTCAGGTGTTCAGAGCAGTCATGCCTATAAGTGGAAAACAAATGATGTCTTCCGACTTACTGCACATTTCAAAATATCTTGATAAATGATGGACATTAGGTTTATAAGAAAACAACAGGTGGCAACATGAGATGTTTATGTTTTGTTTATGTATTAATCAAACAATTTTTCTGTCTTTCAGGCTCACTGTCTGAAAGCCACGGCGCTGAGTAAAGCAGGCCGGAATGACGAGGCCTTGCAGGAATACTTCATGTGTTTGGCGCTAAAGCCTGACTGGACCAAAGTAAAACTGGAGGCTCAGAAGGTAAGAGAAGCTTTTTAAATTACAAAATGCTTCTGACCTCTCTTTTTAATGAAATGTCTAACTTGCCTATAAAACCCTTTTAATAAATATGGTTATTGAAAAAAGCCTCTACCAAAACCCCAGTATTTCCTACAATGACCTAATGCAACCACAGTTATTAAAGGCACAGATACCTGTATAATTGCTTTGTCATAAAGTATATATTGTTATATCGCCCGACCAAAGTTTTCTTAAGTTTTGTTGCAAAATGCTAAAACCTTCATACAACAGATCCACACAATGAGGTGTGAGTGTCACTTCATCAATGTCCGTACAAGGAGAAGAAGATGTCGCTCTTGATTTTAAGCACTGGGGGGAAAAACAAATGACCTATGTGTATTGTGAACATTAATCAAGTTCTTTGTTTTGTTTTATCCTGCAGGTCCTTAGCGAGCTGTTCTCCTCTGTGTTTGAGAACCAGGACCTTCCAACGCCGCTGCACCCACTGCAGGGGGGGTTGACCACCCGCCTCATCAAACCCCCAGCCTTGCTCAGGTCCCTGAGGCCACTCACACAGAGGCCTGGCTCCTCCTCACAGGTTAGTGCGCACAGACAAACACAAAGACATAAATACGTTGTTCCTCACAGTCCATATTTCCAGCACAGTTGGCAGTATGTTTGGACATCTTGAATGAAGGTGCAAAGCGTGGCTGTCAAACTGATCATCCCTCCATAATCGTCCTGCTAACTAATCTCTGTCTGCCTGTCTGTGTGTGTGTGTGTGTGTCCAGGACTCAGAGTTCAGTGTGACTAAAAGCGCTCCAGTAGATGACTCGTCCTCCAGACTGTCTGCTCCGTGTCCCAGTAAATCAGACCCCGCTGCAGCGGAGGACAACACTAAGAGCCTTGCTGGCGTTCTGGCTGCTCTGCCCGCACCCCCTGGTGGCATCAAGAGGAAACACAGCGGAGATGGACCCTCAGCAATCTTCAACCCTCCCTCCAAACTGCTCAGACCTGGTAGGAGAATCTGTGATTCATTGCAAAATAAGTTATCCACTATTGACACAGTTGGTATAAGTTCTAAATAATTCACTCTCGGTGTCACTGATTGGATGTCGATTTCACTTTAAGTCTGGGACCACCTGTTGGTTTTCTGATAATAATGAATCAGTGATCAAATTCTTAAATTGACTGATAGGTTGTTTTATTTATCAACTCATTCATTGCTCTACCCCCCTTAGTAAAAGAAGTCATTGTATTGTACACTGCAATTGGACCAAAATCAGTGTACACATTAGTGGGAAATATCTGCATTTGAGGTAGAAAATGAACAAGCAAACCAAGAAGGTAATAAAAGTAAGAATCTAGTTGAATTTAACTATTTAACTAAGATTTGTATCATTTTTACTTCTTCAACAAGAAATCAATTATGACAAAGTAAGACTGCGGCAACGTAACACTATTGTTTTTAGAAAGCAAAGCAAAAAAAAGGGAGGGGGGGGGGACAAGTAGTACAAGTACTGGTAGTTCCATTATTCACTGTGTAATAAGTATGTGTGTAATGGAGATGTCCTGATCCCGTGTTTGGCTCAGACAATCCAACGCTGCTTCTAATGCTACTAAATAACCTGAGCATACAGAAACCCGTCTCCTGATGTTGTGATGTTTTGTACAGATGAGGCGAGCAGCCTTCAGACGGCTACAGTGTGTGGAGGGAGGGTGGTTCCTGCTGAGCTGCTGGACAGTGGAGACATGGAGTGTTCACTCTGCATGAGGTGACTGCACATAGTCCACCGTCACACACACACACACACACACACACACACAAACTGCATGCATATTTGTATGTGAATGCAACTGTTTTATCAGCACATGTATCTGCGTGCGATACATGCAGCCCGGCAGTATTAGCGCGTGCAGCATGTTGGAGTCTGACTGTGGGCTTTTTGCTGTTTGTCCTCCAGATTGTTCTATGAGCCGGTGGCCACTCCCTGTGGTCACACCTTCTGCCTCAAATGTCTGGAGCGCTGCCTGGACCACAACTCCAACTGCCCTCTGTGCAAGGAAAATCTGTCTGAGGTACACACACATTTGATGTAGTCAAATATGCAAATACAATGTTATTATCTTTTCAATAAAGGGCCAAAACCCTATTTTGACCTCAGTGTTGTGAGTGTTGTTTAGTTTGTAGTAGTACAGACACAATTTATTGTTTAATTAGTAGATTGACTGAAAATGAATCAACTTTAGTTTTTCTAATGTATTGATTGTTATTTATCCCTCAATACCAACTTTCTGGTCCCAGACTCTCAAATGTGAGATTTCGCTGTTCTCAGTTTTATATTACTGTAAAATCTAAAGTCTACAGGGTTTGGACTGTTTCAGTGGGTATTTTAAAGGTCAGAGCATTAAAAGATTCTTGAAGAAACCAGACAGATTAAATGATAATAACAGTTGTTGTTTGTAGCCCTAGCATGTATTAAATAGCATCCTTATGGTCTTTGTTGTCATTGCAGTATCTGGCCACCAGGGGCTACAACAAGACCCTGCTGATGGAAGAAGTGCTGCAGCGTTACCTAGGAGACGAGCTGGCTGAGAGAAAGAAAATCCACGAAGAGGAAATGAAGGAGCTGTCCAAGTCAGTTTCACACACTTGCATTATTTATTTATTACAAAACACTAGTCACAGGATCAAAAATGAATATTAATAACATTTGTTTAAATCCCTGTACAACCTGTACAGACAAATGTCTCAGCTAATGTGGAGTAGGAAGTGCTAATGTCTTAAATCAGACTGTTACAGGTCTTGTTTTTCAGCCTGCAGTTAGACTGTCTTGTATTGTCTCACATTTATAATGGTGAAAATATGTCATTGAAAATACCTTGAATGAAATCAGTTCAGCAGTGCGTTGTTTACTATATTAAGTATGACTCCTTCCATTTGACAATGAATTCTGCCAGTTCCAGATAGAATTAAGCATTAAAAGTGTTTCCCGTTATTACCACAGTCTCAACAAAATCTTTACTGTGTCTCTTGTAGCCTGAACCAGGAAGTACCCATCTTTGTGTGCACCATGGCCTTCCCCACCATCCCCTGCCCACTGCATGTGTTCGAGCCGCGCTACCGCCTCATGATCCGCCGCTCCATGGAGACGGGCACTAAGCAGTTTGGCATGTGCATAGCCGATGAGCTCAAAGGATTTGCCGACTACGGCTGCATGCTGCAGGTGAGTGTGTGCATCTAGAGCTGGTAGAGGATGTCTTTTGTTTGCTTGTTTTCCTCTGGCACATTTCCTTATCTCACAAAACAATCTGTCTTTCAGGTGCGGGATGTGAAGTTTTTTCCTGACGGTCGTTCAGTGGTCGACACCATTGGTGTGTCGCGGTTTAAGGTCCTCACCCATGGCCAAAGAGACGGCTACAACACCGCCAAGATAGAGTACCTGGAAGACAAGAAGGTGGGTGTGCTGTCTGTTAGAGCTCCTCATTCCAAACACTTTACATCACGCTGCTGTCAAGCAAATATCACACAAAGTCGAGCTCAGGTTTTTGCCCTTAGCCCTGTGACAGATCAACAGCAAAGGGAAAAAATCATGAGTCATGAGTTCCCTTCTCTGTGCCACTGGCAAATTCAGTCTTTCCACAGGGAAAAAACCTCTTTCTGCACCAATAAACTCATAGGTTTGCTAATGTAATGAATATGTGCTTAAATTACTCTCTTTTCAGTCAGGTAGAAAGGGTTTTGAAATAGGAAATGACTCAGCCTCTGCCATCTTTCCTCTGCTCAGTGGTTTTTAATGAAAAACAAAAATCTATGTCCAATCAGGTGGAGGCGGAGGAGCTGGTGGAGCTTCTGAAGCTGCACGACTCTGTGTACGAGCAGGCCAACAGCTGGTTCACCTCCCTGAAAGACAACATGAAGAGCCAGATCCTCAGTCACTTCGGACACCTTCCCCGCAAAGACCCCGACCCACAGGTAGGCAAATGTCTGCGTAGCGTAGTTTCACTGCTTTTACCACAAAAATAGAAATACATGATGAAACAAGATGCTTCCAGTTTAGTTTAATTAAGGATAAATGTGTGCAACCACATAACTGATGTTTCCTGTCTTTTATGAGAGGCAGGATTTTTAGAAAATAAGACAAGACAAGAAATATGAATATAAACACCATATGCTTAAAAACCTACGAGGAACATTCTGTGTCCAGCCATGGTCCTCGCATTAAAGCTGAATTCCTTGGCCTAACCGGCATATATTTTTTTCCTAGAGCAGTAAGGGGAAGTAGAACGATAACCGTTTCCACTCTCCACTCAAGCCCTTTCTCAGCTGCTCCATGATTTCTGTTTTCTGCTCACACTTAGAGAACCAACTCTAGGTAGCAAATGCAGTGAAGGTATTGACATACAGAGTCAGTGGGAAGACACAAACAGACAGATTCATTCCGCAGCTGCCACCAGTTTAGTTGTCACACAGGAATTCCATTAAATGCTTGGACATGAATTCCCCCCTGTAGGACAACAAATTGAATTGATTGAAGTCTCTATTACAGTACACACGACCTTTCTAAACCCCTGTGAGCAGTGACAGCTGTTCTAACTCTACTGTGTATATCCGTTCTCTCCTGCAGGCCAGTCCCAGTGGTCCGGCCTGGTGCTGGTGGCTGCTCGCTGTCCTTCCATTGGAGAATCGAGCCCAGCTCACCATCCTGGCCATGACCTCCCTCAAGGACCGCCTCATTGCCATCCGCAGGGTCCTCATCTTCGTTACACGCAAGAGGCCGCGGTGATTGCCCAGCCGCTCGGGGCGGACACACCAGAACCGCTCGGACTTCTATGCAGTTCAGCCATTCATTCATTCATTTGTTTGGTCATTCATTTGGTCACTCATTGACCTTTTCATCGACTCATGTATACATGTGTTCAATCATCCTTTTACTTGCCCACTCTTACATCAGTTCATTCTCTCAGAAGCTCATGAGCTCCTTCCTGTGTCATGCAGCCTGTCTGAGCACATGCGTCAGGTCTGCTGAGAGCGTCAGGTGGGCCGGGATGCTGGCGTGACGGTAATCCTGGTTTCTCGTCTGTCTGTCCGTGTGCCAGCCACCCACCTCCACCTGCATCTTGGATAAATGAAGCTACAACACATCTCTGAACGAGTGACCTCTCACCTGCTGTTCTCTCTTGAGGCAGAGGTAAAAGCAGTCAGGCCAGCTGTTTCACTTCCGTTTAGGCCACCTCTGGGTAATTAGCCTGACACTCTGTTATGAAGGAACAAAAAAAAAAACTTGTTATCGCAAGAGCAGTGTGAGCAAGAGGAATGAATCTTTTCCTACATATACTAAGCAGTATTTTCACATAAGCTAAAACGAAAGTTGGCCCCTCGCATCCACAACTGTGAGTTGTACAAGTACAGTCAAAATAAAAACTCACTCACTGAAATATGAAGCAAACACAGAAACGACACACCAAAGTGAATGTACTGGTCTGGCTGTAGTATGTGGATGTGTTTCTCCCTTCTGCATTTACAGAATCCGCTCCGCGAGTTGCGCACTCAGCAGCTGCTTCACCCTGAATCTTACTGACTGAGCCAAAATTCATGTGCAGAAACCTGGAGCTTTCTATCTGTTGCCTCACCCGGCGGTGGGCCCGTACCTCAGACTGTCAGATAGAAAGTAATGGGCGCCATGAGAGTCACTGCATTGAGATAGGATTGTGATTATGCTAACACTAATAAAATCACAGACTACAATGTGTGAGAACAAGTTCTACTCTACAAAAACATGCTCCACTCGTCATGAAAGAAGATTTCAGTTCAAATCTAAGTCGGGCAATCGCACAAGTTCTAGTTGCATTTTGGAAAAATGCAGATACAAATGCATCCTCCCAGACACAGCTGATCTGGAACTGTATGTCCTATTGTAGCATATCTCTGGGACTTGATACAGACGTAGTAATTGGGGTTGATTGTGTGTTTTCTTTTAGGTTTTTTTGTTCTTGTTTCACTCTCTCTGCTATGCCCTTAAGTGTATGTGTATGGTGAAATTTTAAGTTGGGTGATTTTTATGTATATCAATGTAACTTGGAGGCCTTTGTATGATTTATTTAAGGAACATTTTACCCTCTCTCTCTCTCTGTTTCTCAGTACATTTACATGCACTCTAATGCAAATGCAGTGCTTTAAGTTGTCCCTATTGTTTAATTTTCTAAACAAACAATCTATATTTATAGTCAGCGTTTCTCAATAAAACACATTGTGTGTGTCCTTGAGGCCTGACTTTTTGAATAGTTTTATTAGCAAACAGATTTTTGTATATTTTTGAACTGTTTCGTCTTTCCTCCCTGTCTTTACTGGCACAATGCCGTGTCTCTTGGCGCTTATTGTCACCAAAAAGCTCCATAGCTCTACTTGTAAAGATAAAAATCCACATGGTGCTTAAAAGAAGATGATGTTGCACAATAATAACCCAAATCTTCCTGACAGTTGAATTCAAGGTCCCATGTGGAATTTAATGACCACTAGTAGCGCTGTAGAGCAATGGTTTCACGAGTGGGTCCCTGTCTTGTTTGTATCCCGTGCAAGAGCGTGCAGGTGACCCAATACGGGTTGTTTTAACAAAAGAGACGTAGCAATGTGCCAGCAAATTGCAGGGAAGAAGATGACTAGCTGATGTGAAAATGTGTGTAAACAATGGAGGTTTCAAAATATTCAAAACATAGGCTTTTGCACTGTTTGTAGTTAGTTTTCAATTTGTTCTGCTGAGAAACACTGAATGCAAACCTACCTGCTTTTCATTTACAATAAAACTCAACAGCGTGTGTTAAAAGAAAGGAAGAATGAATGGTGAAGGTGTCGATGGCTTAAACTGAGCTCTGCAAGATATCAAATGTCAAGTATTTCCAAGCCCAGAGTAAGTCCAAAGAGTGAAGAGCAGTCTCAGACAAATTATGCTTAGCTTTAAGCTGGTCGAGCTGTTTTTTCATAGGACAGCCATGGTTGTAACTGCATTCTTATAGTGCATGTAATTGCACTTTCTCTGTATAATTCTGTCCTTCCAAATGTTTGACTCCACTGCAGTTACTTGCTCCCTGTACAGGGGCGGGGTTCACAACATGCTGCATTTCCCTGGTATATTTGTAAAGGGAGATCTTATACCTATTTTTTATTGCAAATAAAGAAAAACATTCAGTCCTGTCTCTACCTGTTGTTTTGTATCATAGCTGTTTCATTTTTGTTCATTTACTGAGAGATCTGACTGTCATACTCACAACTATATATTAAGTGGACCCTACTATGAAGCACTTCTAGAGATTTTTCATGAAACCAAGTTAATGATAGTTTAACATGCTGCTCATCAGTATTTTGTTCATTCTGATCATCCTCCACAATTTGGAAGGTGATACAGTCAGATGAAAGTGCGACTTGCTCAAGGGCACAGATCTGTAAGTCTTATAGTCATTACTGTACATGGAGCTCACTGTATTAAAAATAGGACTTTGATCCAAAGGAAGTTATTTCTGTTATTTCCTGCCTTTCACTGGGTGAAGTGTAGGACAGAAAGCTTACCACACTGGTCCATGAAATAAACACCACCCACATTTTTTCCAATAAGACTAAAATATCTTATTTTGTAAATCCTGGTGAAGTCACATGACTGGATGGCTGATGATGATTGGATGGTGCATAAAGAAATTAGAAATATACTCATATACCACTGTGATGAAGGCCAGATGGTCGAGAACATTAGGACAATAAGTATCAGCACAGCGTTGGGTCACTTGGGAGAGACTGTACGTTCTCCATATATTCAGCGGATATTATATATATATCTTATGTTAATGGAAGCTTAACATATTCCGATCAGACACATCAATGTGACATCTGATTCCTCAGAGAGAGACACATATGGACTACATGAATAGATTCCCGAACTTAGTTTGAAACTAGGGAGGCCTTGAGATATCTGACCTGAGCTGAGCTCTTCAGGCTTGACCTGAACTGTCTGCACCAACCCCATTACCACTATGCTTCAAAAACACATCAGTGAGCAGGGAGGAAAAAACACTGAGCAGGTGATGAGATGCTCCCTTTTATACTTGGAGACGAGGCTGCAGTCTTGGCTGGCGTCTGAATCAGCCACTGTAGTCCAGACAATAAGCATCTTCTTGTCTTTTCTCCTCTCAGGCTCTGCCACTGAAGGCGTTTTATATAGTCTGCACAGTGAGACTGTTGCTGGGCAAAGTGAATTTGGGATGTTTCTTTTTTTAACATTTCTTCCTCTATCCCTGTTCGGCCGTGGGACGCAGTAGCGACTGCAGGGCACAGGGGGGCAGTGTTTGTTAGTGAAATAGCAGGTGAGACGAATTGCAGGGGCATTGAGTTCATACAGGGTTCTTACTGGGAGGAGAGAGAGAAGACGGACAAAACAGAAAGGCAGACACCCCAGATAGCAAATTCTGCTCCCGATTAGATTCCGAGAATGACAATTTAAACGTTCTTGGGGGACAAAATGTCCTCCAACAACAACATTAACAAATTCATGTATAACATCAGACATGTTTTGACACCACTTGATGTTACATAAAGTACATTATGTAAACTGAGCTCTGGTAAACATCCTCTCCTGACAGTATTGTCACTAGAACGCTCTGCCATTATCTACAACAAGTGAAATTCAGTGAGAATGTTTACACCTGAGTGAACACTGAAGGATCTTTTCTATTGTATTGTTGCATTCAAACTATCTTGTAGAATATGCAGAACTTGAATTAACTTTATGAAAGGAGACGAAGTGGTGGCTCACAGGGTTGCTGTGATAAACCTTAAACTGATGAATTCTTGTGAATGGTATGGCCATAAGAGCTGGTTGAATTCTCTGAAGGCATATGAAAGATCAATGACAGAAGGAACAGAGGACCATCCGTCTGTCTGTCCACACTTTGATGCAGAGCAAGATGTCTTAACAACCTCAGGCCAGATTACCTTGAAATTCCGTGTGGATGTTCATGGTTCCCAGCTAAGGAGAAGGACTGTGGTAACTGTGCTGCCCTTTGTCTTTCACCATTGTATGATCCAATTTTGGTTCATGTCAAGCTGCCTTGAAAGGTAATGCCTGGATTGGTCAGGGCCAACAGAGGAGGAGGAATGCTATTTTCTCTGACAAACATCAATAACATCTCTTTTCACTTCTACACAAGAAATACCAGCATCTAAAGAGCAGACTGTCGTTAAAGTTACTGAGCACATTTATCCGCTTCAGACAGTGCCATCCTCAGGATAAAAGGACAACATTTCAAGAGAGAGATTGCCATGCCATTTGCTGAACCCATTGATGGTATAACCTGGCAAGGCAGCTGGACTCGTGAGATTATAAAAGAACACGAGAGAAGCTATCCTGCAAGGAGTACAGTGGTACCAAACCAATCAGCACCCATTCGAGGAAGTACTGGCAGGTACGTAGTTGTGAGACAATGAAAAGACATTGTTCGTTAAACAACAATGCCGACTCCCATAGAGGTCAGTGTAGATGCTACTAGCATCAGTTATATCTAACCTGAGTATTTCAAATAAAGCCACTGAGGACTTTTCTCGATGGAAATTTTTTTTTGTTTGAGTTTGACTACGTTATATGTGGTTTGTTGATCTGATTGGGACTCAGTTGGCCCATCCTGGACGGTAATTTCACAGATGGTGGGACAGATATTTTGTCCAATATTTAAAAGTGCCAGTTTCCAAAGATGGTTCTGTTTAACCCTTTAGATTTGAATGCACCATAGCACCATCCTAAGGACAAATTTAGCATTTTTAGGCCTGCAATCAACGGGCATCAAAAACCAGAAAAACTGCTGATGTCCTATTTGTTCCCATTGATTCTTTGTATTATCCAGTATGATCACCATCGCACAGAAATCATAAATCATATGATTTGTTTGTCCATTTGAAAAGATAAAAAGTACATGGATCCCATAAGTATATGTTTTCTCTCTGTTTTGATCATTGCTTGGGGCTTTGTTTACTGTATAGCTACATATTTGCATCATTATATATTTATTTACTCTACTTTCATTAGAGTATTAGTACTAACCCTAACCCTAACCCTAAATAACTACATGGCTACATAACAAGAGGCTCCTGAGGTAGAACTGGTTCATCTTAATCCTGGTTTTAATATTGAGTGTGATGTGGTGACAGACCAATTGTTCCAGCTTCACTAAATACCTCCCTGACATCCTGACATTGCTCTTACTCACCTTCTTCTTTTTGCTGGGACGTACACACACACACACACAC